GAATATGTGGGATGCGGCAGGTTTTCTGTTTTTCATGTGAGGCAAATCTTCTGCAACACTACCTTCTAGCGTCCTTATACAACTTTTATTTCTTTTCAATGCTATAAAAATTGTCCTATCTATTTAACTATATGCATTTTCGAACTGCCTTTTCCTCTTTTTAAAGTTGTTTGTATCAAATCCAAGAGAGTAATTTTCTACGGCGTTATATTTTACTTGCCTTTATAATCAACGGGCTTAAATTGTTACGAATTGAGGACTTTACGTAAACTCTGGGCCAATCAAAACCAACCATATTTCCCACCTGATTTACCTTGTAGAACATAGAAACTTTGGATATATCGACCAGACATAGCAGCTTATTCATCTGTTGTGAAGTGGAAAATTATCTTTCTGATGTTCGTTAAGTGTATCATTGTTTCCTCGTAAATTAGAATTGTTTAAACTTTCATAATTTCTTTGTTTTATTTCATTGTTTAGTGTCAAGGTATTTCGGGTTCCTCGGTAAGAAAGGTCGACCTAAAGCAAAAGATATTGGAGGCATGATCAACTTGTTGTACAGGTATGTTTTGAATTTATGCAACTCTTCCATATCTACTTACAAGATTCTAAATCTTTATTCTTAAGTTGTGAGTACTGTGTCCTCGCTGCAAATTACAGAATTAACTATGACAGCTTAGTGCGGCTGGAAAACTGTAGAACTCCTCGAAAACTTGCAGACACTCTCACAAGCACTGTCATATTTAGTACTGTCATATTAATGCGATAAAAGTATTCCTCTCAAATCATAAAAAATAGATAAATATGTACAAAATATTCACTCCTACAAATCCCTTGATAAATAAGCCACCCAAAAACTCATACATAGAGACGCATTCTCGCTTAGTAAATTTTGGGAGTCAGTAAGCCCTTAGATTGACTCAAGCAGCCGGGAAGTGGTGCTCTGAATTCCTAATTATAATGGTGACCCAGGTGCTGAGCCCTGGGTTCTGGGCCCCAGGTACTCGAAAAAAGCGCTGTGCACCCGATTCGCCTTTAATCTACCGCTTAGAAGCGAATCTAATTATTCTCAAATTACGGCATACATGCTGATAAAGTAGGACCTATTTACCTGCCGAGATTAGATTACCGAGAACAAAACAAAGGCCAAAACAAAACAAAAGAAAGGAAAACAAAACAAAGGAAATTATTTAAGAATGTTTTTCTGTTCTTCAGTAATCTTCACGCGTGGAATTTTATCCATGATCTCTTTTTACCAGATGTAAAAGCGATGAATTTTCCTCTTTCGCTTGAACCTTGCCACATGTCAAGTGCGACTGCGATACCGAAGACATTCTGAAATCATTTCCTTTGTTTTGTTTTGGCCTTTGTTTTGTTCTCGGTAATCTAATCTCGGTAGGTAAATAGGTCCTACTTTATCAGCATGTATGCGGTAATTTGGTATAAGTAGATTCGGTTATAAGCGGTAGATTAAAGGCGAATCGGGTGCGCTGTGGCCCTGATGGACCTGATGCGTTGGATAGACAAAACTTCTACCTTGTGACTTTACACTGAGGTGAGCTTTTGTCCGCTTTTACATTTATAAGCTACAGCTAAGTTCACGTGTGAACTTTAGGTGACGTTGTTGCCAGAAGGGCATTTGTAGTCACCTCTTATTCGCTATTCATCGTTTTACGTTGATAGAGGTAGGTTTCTATCTTAGCGCTAGAAGCAATCATTTATTAGACCATAGACACTTTTTGGAGCACTGAAAGCCATAGCAACGTGAGAAAAAGGGCTTGAAAACATCATATCACCGTACGAACAGTGGACAAAACAACGACAACGCAATATGTCGTATACTCGCAATGATGATTTACACACACAACTGAACTCGTTACGGTGGACAGTTTACAATTTCAACTTAGTTGATATAACCAATTACCTTGTTAGCCCTACCGACGCAGCACCACAGTTTCTTTAGAAACTTCACCCTTTATCAGATGAGTAACTTATAACTTGAAAATCAGCTCGAGGGGAAAGGGTTTTTTAAGTAAGTGCACGTGTTGGGACTTTAAGGGTTGACCAAAATATTTTAACTTGAGGCCGCAAAAGGAAATATTTTGCGTATAAGATTTCCTAACTTAAGTGGGAAAACTCGGGCTGTTCGCTTTCTTGTCGAGCAAGTTTCATAAGATTATAGACATATGCAATGTAGTATTATAACATGGCGTGCGCAAGTCGTACCTAATTAATTTTATTCCTAGGGAGCTACTATGGTGTAAATCTCTATGTACGCACGGCCGCGCGTACATAACATGTCGTATGCAATTTTACTGACTTCAGCTGCAAGTTCCCTTCGAGTTTTGCCACAAGGTTTCAAAATTTTCGAGAATGTCTTTCGGTTCCATCCCAAATGTAATCGACGTTTTGGAGCTCAAGATGAAACGCAAATGGGCCAAATAATACTCGATACGAAAAACAATAATTATGTAGCTCTTTATAGCGACGACATTAGCTT